GATGTGATTTATTTTCTTGTTGAAAATGCACAAATGAGAACATAACGCCGATCCACCAGTTTCTACTTGTACAACGCAGGGAAGGGATTCTAATTCTTTGAGTTGTGTAGTGGTTCTCATCTTCTTTTCTGGGCTGATACGCCCCTCTGAATATGTGTTTGGAAGGATAAGCCCGAGGTGGGCCCCCGAAAGGCAGAAGCTACAGATATCCCACATGATTAACTTGTCCAAAGGACTGTACCACTCTTATTAGTTCTGATACCACTCCGCACCTCAGTATTCCCTTTCATATCCCAAACTACAAAAACACAAACACTCACTGCTGTCAAATCAGTGCTGGTTCACAGTGAGCCTCGAGGACAGGGTAGAACTCCCCCAGTGAGTTTCAGATCCCATCACCCCAACTTTCAATGCAACCTTTTTTTTTTTTTTTTTTTTAACAAAACTCAGAAACCATCAAGGAGATGGCTCAGGCAGTTAGGGAGGCCGGCAGGTCCCAAATCCATAGTTGAGATGTCAACCTGGAAGTTTCCCCTCAATCATGCCAAACTGGGCTGTTACCTCACAAGGCCGCAGAAGCTGGTGAATCAGGTCAGTGGTGACAGGCCACCAGCTCAAGTGGAGACCAGATGGAAGCAGCCGGACATAGGATCCAGAGCAGTAGAGAGTAAACTTTTACCAAAGTTGTCAGCACCGCTACAGAGAGACACAAACTGGCCCAAAGTGAAAGATCTTTCTGAACAATGGCCAGCCTAGCAAGGGAGTGCACCTGGACTCATCACCAAGATGATGCCCAAGTCTCGCCCTGCAGCCTTTGGGGGCAATAACTGGCATCTGATTGGTGTTCGTCAGGATGATTTTAGTACAAGAACTAGTTGGGAAGACAGGGTCACAGAGATGTCATCTTGCTTATCTCCAGGGCTTTGGTGGGAGTGTAGTTTTGTCTTTTACCATCAGAAAGCGAAGTAGAGGATACATTGATGCCTTCTATGGGTGTTGGGTGAGCCACATCTAGCCTCAGCCAGTTCTCTGCCCTCTGCCTCCCGCTTTTCCTAATTAAGAAGGAAGTTGGTAGTTTGTCTATTGAGACAGATTAAAACAGGAAGTTCTTGTTTTAATACAGATATAAAAGATTATGAATCTTTTGTAGAGCATTGTCCCATGGAAACTAAGAACAGTGTCTTGAATCACTCTCTTTAGTAAGGCTCGGATTCAAGATACATCCCGTCTTAATCTTAGCATAACCGATAACTGATTCCAAAACTGTAATCAGGCATGTTGTTGTTGTTAAGTTCCATGGAATTGGTTCAGACGCATAGCGACCGTATGCACAACAGAGTAAAACAGTACCAGGTCCTGTGCCAGCCTCACAATTGTTCTTATGTTCAAGCCCATTGTTGCAGCCACTGTGTCGATCCATCTTGTCCAGGGCCTGCCTCGTTTTCACTGCCGCACTACTTTACCAAACATGACGTCCTTTTCTAGGGACTGGTCTTTCCTGACAACATGTCCGGGGTATGTTAGGTGAAGCCTTGCCACCCTTGCCTCTAAGGAGCACTCTGGCCAGACTTCTAAGCCAGATTTGTTTGTTCTTTTGGCAGTCCATGGTACTTTCAATATTCCTTGCTAACACCATAGTTCAAAGGCATCGATTTTTCTTCTATCTCCCTTATTCAATGTCCAATTTTCACAGGCATATGAAGCAGTTGAATTACAAGGGTTTGGGTCAAACATACCTCAGTCCTCTAATCTCCTTGCTTTCAACTCTCTAAAGAGATCTTGTCTAGCAGATTTAATAGTCCAATGTATCATTTGATTTCTTGTCGGTTGCTTCCATGAGCATTGATTGTGGATCTAAGTAAGACAAAATCCTGGACAACTTCAGTCTCTTCTCCACTTGTCATGATGTTCGTACTGGGCCAGTTGTGAGAATTTTGGTGGTCTTTACAAAGAGTTGTGATACATACTGAAGACTGTAATCCTTCATCTTCCTCACTTGCAGCAAGCAAGGTGTGTCATCTGCGTATTGCAGGTTGTTAACAAGCCTTCCTCCAATTCTTCTGCCCATTCTTCATATAGTCCAGTTTTTCTGATTATTTGCTCAGCATACAGATTAAGTAAATATTGTGGGAAGATACAACCATGACACACACCTCTCCTGACTTTAAAACCATGAAGTATTTCCTTGTTCTCTCCCCATAACTGCCTCTTGATCCTTGTACAGGTTCCACATGAGGACAAGGTAGTATTAAGGGATTCCCATTCTTTTCAAGGCTATCTATAGTTTGTTGTGATCCACATAGTTGAATGCCCTTACATAATCAATAAAACACAAATAAACATCTTTCTGGTTTTCTCTACTTTCAGCCAAGGTCCATCTGGCTTCATTAATGATAGCCCTTGCTCCACATTCTCCTCTGAATCCTACCTGAACCTCGGGCATCTCCCTGTTGTTGGGCGGCATCCGTTGTTGGGTGATCTTTAGCATAGTTTTACTTGCATGTGATATCGGTGATATTGTTCTATAACTTGAAAATTCTGTTGAGTCATCTTTTTTTAAAAATTGGGACAAATATGGATCTCTTCCAGTCAGCTGGCCAAGTAGCTATTTTCCAAATTTCCTGGCGGAGCTGAGTGAGTGCTTCCACTGCTTCAGATCAGCTTGCTGAAACATTTCAATTGGCATTCCTTCAATTCCTGCACAGCACACCCTACTTTTTTTTTTTTGGCTAATGCTTTCCCTGCTGCCTGGACTGCTTCCTTCAGGGCCATTGGCTCTTGCTCATACACAACCTCCTAAGAGGTAGAATGTCGACTCGTTCTTGTGGGTACAGTGACTCTGTTCTTTCCATCTTCTTTTGGTGCAGTTTTAGCAGCACGTTTTACTTGTCATTGTTGTAAATATGTAACTCTGTCTACCACACAGCTTTTGCCAATTCAACTTTGCACAGGTGTCTAACTTGCTGGCAATTATACTAATCAGCTGTGGAGCCCTACCCTTAATCAAGGCAAGTGTCCTGTCATCAGTGATCTCCTGCCTTTTGCCCTCCCACCTCTGGTAATAATAATTAATAACATTTGGTCTTTGCATACATTGGAGTTTCCTTGTCTTTTATCTAAGTGGGGTCATATTTTGTGATGGACCAAAGAGCTTCTCCTGCAGCTCGTGCTTACCAAGCCTCTTTAAACCCCTCTCTCTCTCCTCCACCACCAAGTTTGCCATGTGCTGATTGATAACGCGCACATGAGGGATGCACTCTAAGTCTAAAGAGAAGTGCCTGTCAGTGCAGGGCTCATGTCGTAAAACTTGCCTTTCTGCAGGATCTGCCATTGATGATATGTGATATCAGACCTTGTCATTTGATAAAGAAATTCTGCCAATAATTTGCCCTGCCTGCCTTCTGAGCATATTTATTTTCAGCTTCGCGGCTCGGTTGTTGCTTTCCCTTCTATTTAAGCTTAGTGGCATTTGTGTGACATGTACCAATTTCTGCCAGAAGTACAACTTGGAACGCTGCTTCTGTGACTATGATGTCTCCCCCGCCTGTAATGACGAAATTAAGTACTTTTTCCTTTGAAGCATTATTTTGTTCCTTTGTCAAGGAAAACTAGATGAGTTTACCGGAAATGGCAGTGTGGATTTTTGGGAAGCCCTGGCAGTGCTTTAAAGGCTGTGGCGGGACACTTTTCCATCCAGTTGATGACCTGGGCGCCTGTGTTTAGATGGTGGGTCAAACAAAATCCCACCTTTTACTATGAGGAGGCTTCAAAAAGTGTGTGGAAAAATGGAATCACAAGGTAATGGAATTTCCTCACAAAATTTTTGAAGCCTTTTTATATCCCTCATACTTCCTTAGCACTGCTTTCCTCCCCACTCTAACTTACTGAGTTTTGGGGGAACTCTCAGGTAAGGAATGAACTGCTAACCTCAAAATCAGGGTTCAAACTTATTAGACATTCCAAGGGAGAAAGATGAATCTACTCCCATCAAGATTTACGGCCTCCAGAGCCCCATACGGCCTCTGACTCTGAAGACATTGGGTGACTTTGGATTTGGTTTGGGTTAACTTACTTTGGGTGAAATCCTTGCCTTTGAAAAGGTTCCTTTTTTTCCTTTTAAGAGCGTGTTCATTAATAACCAGGGTTCCGTTCACCATTTAGAGGCAGAACATTTTGCCATGGGAGGATTGTGCTTTTGCATGTATGTAGGATTCATTTTGTGAACTCAGCACACTTCAGCATTATCACATAAGGTGTTTATATCATGCCAATAAAAATTCGAACTGAAAGCGTGTGCGCGGTTTCTGTTGGTGGTTCCCAGTGCCTCGGTCCTGGTGTGTGACGACCCCGCGTGTCCAGAACGGCTCTGTAGGATTTTCAAGACACTGACTCTTGGACACAGATTGGCTGGCCTGGCTCCTGGGGCAGCTGCCTAATTCTCTGTTAGTATTCGAGCACTTCATAGCCCCTAATGGTGAAAATATGTTTGTTTATAACAAACTACATCAAACTAAACGTTTGTGAAGACTGACCACATGGTGAATATGAGATTTGAAGAGGCCAAATGATAGAATTTGGAAATTTCTATCAATTGAGTTCTTATAGTCATAATTGATCTTCCACATTTTTGAAATGGACAAGAACAGATTGGGCCCCTGATGCACACATTGGAGAATCCAGACTTCCCACTGAGAGCCGGGCACAGTTGGCTTAGATATCACAAGTGCTTTCCTTCCCTCCAGATCAGCGAGTCTTCAGCCCCTGTGGAACCCCCTCCTATAAGAGAATGTGTCTCAAAATGTGATTTCAGAAATCCTGGCATCACAATCCCCTGGGAGATTCCCCAGGCACTTTCATTGGTAGCCACTGTCCCAGGTGAACGTGGGCCACAGCAGTGTGGGAGCCCTGATCGGGGCATATGCAACAGAGTGAACGAATGCCTCTGTTTGGTTGATATGACGCATGACTTTTATAATATTTGATGCATTTTCCCCACTCAGGCCTCGTTGGTCATGTCTGTAACCTGTTAACGGAAACTGCCACGCTGTGCTTGGATGTGGACAGTAAAAGCAACAACGAGACGGCGGCCGCCCTGCTGTTTTCCCTGCTGGACATTCTGCACGGCATGCTGGCCTACACCTCCAGCATTGTACGGCAGGCTCTGCAGGTAGGAACGCTTGACCTGTGGCTCAGGCAACCCTGCTTCACGGCATGCCTCCCTTTCATTCTCTCCTTCCTGTTTTTCCTCTAACCTGTCTTCGTTTTGGAAAAAAGAACATAAAGTCTGTAGGGAAATTATATCAGTGAAGAAAACCGAAACCTGAAAGAAGGAATTAGACCACAGGCTTAGAGCCCACGTGAACCATCCACAAGACTCTTCTAGCCCAAGGTCATAAGAAGGATGGTACCTGGCTACCACTAGCAATTCTTCTGACAAGGAACCCGATAATAACAGAAGCACCTACAGCCATCCAGTTAATTTCAACTCATAGTGGCCCCATGAAAGGTTTCTGGGGCTGTAAACCTGTATGAGAGCAGACAGCCTCATCTTTCTCCAACACAGTAGTTGGTAGCTTTGAACTGCTAACCTTGCAGTCAGCAGTCCAGGGATGACCGAACAGCTCCGCCCAGCCTTCTTTGGAGCACAATAAATAGAACCAAACGCACTGCTATCAGATCCATGCTGACTCATGGCAAGCCCGCGAAGGGTCCAAACAGAATGGGACAAAAATGTAGCCCCAAACTCAAAGGCCTAAAAACGGCGAGACCTGTTGTACTGCTTGAGGCTAGAAAAGGCCCAGGACAGTTTCCTAGAATTGAAACAATTGCTGCAGGTTCCATTTCAGCCTGGGTTAGCTTATCAAATAAACCCTATCACCTACATGAGTAACGTGCTCCCTAAAACAGCTAAATTATACCATACGCTCAACATTTACCCACAAAGCAAAGCTGAGCGGGCATGGATGGGGGGAGGGAAGCTGGATGGATGGAAACAACAGACAGAATGGAGATCATAGAGTGCTGACACGTTGTCCAAACTGTCAAAGGGGAATCCAGTTTGCTGTGGAAACTTTTACCTCAAACACAATAAGATATTACGGTTTAGAGCTACGGGAATGATCAGCTAGCCATCTCTGGCTGAGTGACTCATACAAGAAGAATTTGATCCCCAAAATTGTTAGGGAAAATGGGAGAAACCTATGAAAGTACTACTTGCTAGTTTTTAAACTGCTCCTGAGCACTGCCTGCTTATTTGCTTTTGGTGCACCTCAGGGCCAGGCAGGTGTTGGTCGTTCTGTCAGGGGTGATCTGCCAGTCCACCCTCAACTGACTGGCTTGAATATACAACAAAGGATTGAGACTCTATGCGTATGCATACATGCACCCAACACACCAACTCTCTCACTTGCTTTCCTGATGGGCAGTGTCATGGAACTGTAAGATGCTATTGGAGAACTTTCTCATATAAGCAAAATTTTGCTGAAGATAATGCACAAGTAACTGCTGCCATGCATTGGTGGAGAAGGGTCATACATTTCAGCCAGATTGAGAAAAGGACATGGAACACAGGTTATCATTGCTGACATCAGGTGGATGTTCTGAAAGCAGAAAATACCAGAAAGTTGTTTACCTCTGTTTAGTGGACTATGCAAAGGCATGCGACTGTGTGGGTCATAACGAATCATGGATAATGTTTCCATGAATGGGAATTCCAGAGAACTCACGGATACTCCTGTGGAACTTGCACATACATGGAGCGGCAGGCATTCAAACAGAACAAGAGGTTTAAGAGCAGGAAAGTTGTGCGGCAGTGTTCCATCCTTTTGCTGTCCTTACTCCATCTGGAGATGAGCAAATCTTTTGAGAAGCTGGACTCTGTGAAAAAGAATGGAACATCAGGGGCAGGAAGGGAAAAAATGAGCTGACACCAAGGGCTCAGGTAGAAAGAAAATGTTTTAAAAGTTATCATGGCAATATCTGTACTTGACACACTGGATGGATGGATGGATTGTGATAAGAGCTGTACGAGCCCCCAATAAAATAAATAAAGAGGACGGAACATCAGGATTAGAGGAAGACTTGTGAATGACCGGCAAGACGCAACTGATACAATCTTGCTTGCTGAAAGTGATGGGGACTTGAAACGCTTGTTGTTGAAGACCAATGACTGTAGCCTTCAGTGTGGACTCTGCCCCAACATGAGGAAAAGAGAAAGCCTCATCACTAACCCAGTAAACAGCATCCTGATCAACATTGAAAAGATGGAAACTGTCAAGGATTTAACTTTCCGTGGATCCCCAATCCACACCCAGGAAGCAACAGTCAAGATAACAAATACTGCATCACATTGGCAAACCTGCTTCAGAAAACCTCTTCGAAGTGCTCAAAGACAAAGATGTCGCTTGGAGGACGAAGAGGCATCTGACCCGGCCCATGATATTTTCAGTCACTTTACACGCATGTGAAAGTTGGACAATGAATAAGTGGCATCAGAGCAGAACTGATGGGTGATGTGTTTGGTATTGGCGAAAAACTTTGACTATGCCGTGGACTTGCAGAAGGAAGCGCACAGCTGCATTGGAAGAAGTACAGGCAGGATGTGCCTTCGAACGTGGGATTCCACCTCACTTCGTTTGACCAGCTTCCCAGGAGGGACCACGTCCTGGAAAAGGACTTCCTACTTTGTGGAGGGTCAGGGACGCAAAGAAAGACCTTTCAGGAGATAGATTGACACGGTGACTGCCTCCAAGGGTTCAAACAGAGAAAAGATTGTGAGGACCGAACAGGGCTTTGTTCTGTTGAAGATCAAGTTGCTATGAGGAGATGCTGATTTGATTGTAACAATGAGGGCAGGAGTGCATTCCGTAACTAGGGAACAGGTTCATGTGTCCCATGCTCACCCCTGGATTGATTTATCACGAAGGAGATGAGGGATATTGAATACTTAGCATGTTAGATGGTCAGTGCCTGCATGTGCTTATTTGACTTAACGTTCTCTCTCACCAATGGTCTCAGCTGATACTTGGGTCACGTGAAAGGCACACCGCCAATGTGAATCCACTATTGTGTTCAGAGTCCTGGCGAGACTGCAGGAGATGGAGATCAAGTGGTAGTGCCCTCATTTGGATCGCTGCAGACGCTACAGTGCTTCTGGACCCCTTGCCAAGTATCACTGTAGTCCAGCCAAGAATCAGTCCCCAGGCCCTGGTTCAGTCTGTGGTGTTCATCATCATGGGGGAAAAATATTCTTTAGCCATAGTGAAGCTGGCCTGCTCTTTGGCTTGTCTACTATATTTGAGCTAATTCCAAGTTTCCCTCAGTGGACACTCTAGCTATTTGGTCTGTGTTTAACCTAAATTTGTGAAGCCAACAGTGAAAACTGGCTTTTTAGTTGCCTATTGTTTTTGTGTTTTAAACTTTTTATTGTGAATTGGGTGACGGGTTGTCGAGCAAATGCGTTTTCCAGACATGCACATTGTATTTCATGTCATTGATTACAACCCCCAGACATTTTTGCTGACCTCTCCTCTCTTTATTGTGTTCGCTTTCACTCAAGTTAATATTTGCGTGCCACTGGTTGTGAAAGGGATGAATGTCAGCTGCTTATTTTTTACTTTGTGTATTTCTTCAAAGAATAAGGATTCTATTGATATAATTAACATATCACTCAATCGTGTGGTCGTAGTAAGAAGGGCTGTCAGTCATCCCGACGGTCAACTTTGCAACATTTCCTTCCTTGTTGATGCCTCATTTTCTCCCACCCTCCCCTTCTGTACCTCAGCTGCTGTCTTCCTGCATCCTCCCTTCCTGGCTTCCCTACACAGAACACACACACACACACACACACACACACACACACGCACGCACGCACGCACGCATGCACGCACGCACGAGCACAAGGATCCAGCAACAAAGAACATAGGCAACAGAAAATTTTCAACCCAAAAGAAAGTAGAAAAATATTTTAAAATAGAATAAATTCAAAATGGGCCCAAAGGGAGCTTTAATGGCTGAGTTTCATTCTAGTCTGAGTTCTACCATTTTTCCCCCTAGTTCTTTCACATTGAAAAATGTGAAGTGTGTTCTTCGTTTTGGGTTTTCTTACTCTGGGTTTTTGCACATTTCAGTCTAGTGCTTTGCTTTGTCTTGTCGATCTGCAATTTTCTATTCAGCCCTTTACTTCATCACTCCTTCCATTGGCATTAGCTGCTATACATTTAAGAGGAAGTTTCAGAGTCTCCTCTGACACCCAAGGGGTTTCGCTTTTTCCTGTCTTGTAAACAATCTTTTGCTTTCTTTGGTGTGATGTTCTTGAAACCATCCCATTATTTGTCTGGTGTTTGGTCATTAGTGTTCAAATCTGTTCTCTAAATTCAGGTAGGGTATATGCCAGGATTTACTTATATACTCGAGTATAAGCTGAGTTTTTCAGCACATTTTTATGCTGAACCCCCCCCCCCCCATTTTCTGTGGTACAATGAGGTGCCTCGGCTTATACTCACGCATATACGGTATGTTGGCTCTTGTAGTTTTGCTTTAATTTTCTTCAGCTTCAACCTGAATTTACATTTGAGCCATTGATGATCAAACCCTGGCCTTGTTCTGGTTGATGATGTTGAGCTTCTGCATCAAAATGCCATTTTGGAATAAATTAATACGATCGTTTCATTTGTTTCCCTTTACCTTATTTATATAATAAATTGAAATTATTAATTTTCTAATGTTGAACCAGCTTTGCATACCTGTTATAAATTCTACTTGGTTCTGGTGTATTATTTTTGATATGTTGTTGGATTCCATTGGCTAGGATTTCGCTCCCAGATTTCTTGGCATTGACTAGGGCATGCATGCAGTGCTGCATCAGTTTATCGAAGGGTTTCCGTCGGTGTCCCATCAGTTGCCGTCAGCTAATGCCTTCAGTGCAGCATGGACATCTTCCTTCGGCATTTTCAGTTCATGGTCACATGTTAGCTCTTGAATGAATGTCAACCAATTGCTTTTGGTACCGTGACTAAGTCCTTTGAAGATACCTAGATATCATTCCTTTGGATCCCTTATCAGGTAGTCCTTAGGCCACTTTGTCCGCAGGAAGGTTTTCTTGCTCTGTGTTTCAGTTACTTGTCAGAGCCACTATCTTGTTTCTTTGGGTGAACCAAAATTTGCTCC